GACATGACTTGAAAGTCACTGGAATGTTCCTCGAACCAATCCATGACGATTCGACCCTTATGACATGGTGCATTATCCTGTTGGTAAACACCATCCCCCGCAGGAAAAACTGTTGCCATGAATGGGTGAACCTGATCTGCAACTATGTTCAAGTAGCTTACAGACGTCAGGGATTGTTCTATGAGGATTATGGCTCCTAATGTGCCCCATGAAAACATTGTTCCGGGGCGAGAAACCTTGAAAACCTGGGCGAGCCCGTTGTTATATATGGAGGGTGATCATAATGTAATGGCTCTTCGTTGTATCTCTAAATGGTATATCTAAATCATGTATCTCTAAAAAGTTCAAGGCAGAGGGAAAAGTTAAATGCACAGTAGTTGAGCAGCATCGTTTTTGTTCAAAAGGAATAAATACCAATACTTTATTGTCATTGATGTTAAGAAAAGAAAGTTTAAAACGGGAATTTGGTAGCTCAAAATTTCCTAGTTTGTGTATGGATGAAACGATCTGAATGATTACAGAATGACTGCATTTTCGATTTTCAAATTTTTCTTTAGCTTTGAGTGTGTTTAGTAAAAGTATTTTGTGATAGCTAGTAGTCTTTTTTCTATCTTGTTTTTGTATTCGTCTTGTCGCAATGTAGAAAATTGCGAACTAACAAATGCGTATTTTAAGCGTTCTTTTCTTAGAGTTAATGCCACAAGGTGTCTATTCATACTAAATCGATGATATATACGCAGTATCTTTTCCCATGACAAATTATATAATGAAATAATGAATAAACAAACATTTCTTTCTACTAAAATATTTATTTCTAACATTAAATTAGCGTGATGTGTTCTATCTACCCTGATAAACAGATAGTTATGCAAAATAAATAATTTTGTGTTCATTATATTTGGAGTTTTTAGTATTTTTTCATGTTTAAAAACAGAAATCCCAAATAAACCTTTGGGCATAATATGTACCCTTCCTTAGCACTCTGCATACAACTTACCTCAAATTTTGACCCGTAGCTTAGCTTTTTGTATTAAGCTCTTAAGTTCTACGACGAAGGTCTCGTTTTTATTCTCCAACCTTATATAACCGAAAAGAAGATTCTGGATATCTTAAACACGATGTATCACTAGTCACAATAAGTTAATAATTCTAAGAGGTGTTATTAGGAGTTGATACCGGTGGAGTAAAAATCATAACTTTCCATATGGAATTTTTTAAAACAATAGCGTTGGAAAACCAATTGACAACAACGTATTTTATTCATCTTTAAGCACTTAACGATCGGTTAATTTTCAAGAAAACGGTCATAAAAGTGCCTATTGTTTTGGCTTTTGTATTTGCATTACGTATTTGATTAGTGCTAGTTTAAAACTGGTTTAAAATAGTAGCTGGTTTAACTAGCTAGTTTAGCTAGATTAAAATAAACTATCTACAATTAACTTAAAAATATCCTGGTACTGCCATCAGGTGTGTAAAATGTGAAATAAAATGTTTTCCGGGCGAAAGAAATGAATTAGTTTTTATTCTTATTGGCGCGTTACTACTGAACACTCCAGCCCGTCAATATCACGGGAGTGAGAAATAGCGAGCGAAATCTCACCCCGTCATTTTCAAGGGAGCGAGAAGGAAGGGACTAAATAACATGTAATATGCCTACAACTAGTTTTATATGGATTTCGTGATTCAGTCAAAAGTGCTGGGATCTGGATTTATCAAATTCTTCAAGTAAAATTTATTAATACTAGCCTCGTGAAAATAAGTAGAAATGATTTTTTTTTTTTTTTGAAAAATTTTTTCAACTGTATTTATTTATTTATTTTTTTTGCGTACAAAAAAAAATCTTAAAATTATGAATATTTATCATGGGTGAAATTAGAACCGTGTATGAGCTAATTATTTTTACCTAATTATTAGCTACCATACAATAAAATTTACAAAACTATGGTGAGAAACATTTTTAAACCATTTTGAAGTCTAACTATATAGTTTGCCAGAGTTTTTCGAAGTTCTTTCAACAAGAAAAAAGTTGAATGCTTTGCACTCGAAGCTCAAAGTTAAATTTAAACTATCTTTCCAAAAAGAATTGTCTTGATTTTGAATCGAACAAAGATCTTCAATATTCAAAGATGCTAATCCTTAAAAAAATATCCCCAATTTGGCGAGATGTATCTTTTATTTTTAAGAACAATTAAAATTGATTAATAATTCTGAATTTCCCAATGACGCAGGATTTGAATGAAACCTTTTATCATATTATATCACAATCAATTTCTATTTCTCTAAAATGTGGTTTCTTTTTCATATTGAAATTTGGCATTTTCAGAATCGGCGTAGAGCAGTGTTTTCCAAACTTATGACTTTTGTGTACCCTTTCTAAATTTTTCGTAACTCTGTGTACCACTAATAAGAAAATGAATGCATTTTTTACTATAAAAAAATTGCACAAAAGTCAAACATCACAACTGGCTGTGACACCACCAATTATTAACTGTTAACTCGGCAAAAAAAGCCAATAGAAAAATACGAAATCGTAAATTTTCATAGCTGGCTTTGTTTTTAAATATTTTTTTTTTTTAAATTTTCGTTTGCTGCATGATATTTCGCATAAGAACGCGTACGCCCGCTGAACTGTTCCCGTACCCCTGGGGGTTCACGTACCACACTTTGGGAAACACTGGCGTAGAGGATACAGACTAATTGTAGACAAAATTTAAACTAACCGACAGTAAATTATACAAATTCGCAACAGTTTTAAAAATAGCATATTATTAGCGAAACTTGACATTTTGCGATATTATTTGAAAACTCAATAGTAAGATCAGCCTTAACTGATTTCATAAATCTCAATTTACGTGTTTTTATTTTCTCCAGATGGAAAAAAAACTTACATTAAATTTCGTGAGGTGAAATGTTTTTATTAAATAAAAGGAAAAAATTCGTTTTAAGGAATGAGCGAATTAGAAGCGAGCTTTGGCTTTTCATATACTGAGACCTAGACGTTTATTCGGAGATTATGAAAGTTGTATGATTCTGCGAATAACTGGTGCGTTCAGTGAACAAGTTTTGTTTTTCAATCGAACTGCGTCTTACACATTTTCTTGGAAAACCGAACACATTTTGTTTGTGTATGCTCTCGATCGATGGGCACACAGAGGCTCAAGAGAATGACGATTCCGTTACTATGACAACCGGACGACGCCGCTTTCATCCAAATGATCTCTTCTACCCACCTCATGTTCTGCTTCTGAAAGATATTTGTATCCGTCAGGTGACGAAATTATTATTTCATTACTGCGTAGCTGGCGCTTTACAATGGGTAATTCGCCATCTTTTTTTTGGAGCTAAGGACCATTTTATGATGTATTTTGTAGCCTTTTAAAGCTCGTAATATGCGACTGCATTATTATTTTCGAACTTGAAGTCTCTTGGGAGTTGTCCATATACTCATACCCCTTCACTAGACCCATTTTATTTATTTATTATGATATATATATATATATATATATATAAATGCTTTTAAAATGCCATATAACATTTACTAAGTTTTACAATTTTATCGAAAATAAATATCGTTAATTCTATAAAATTTTGTGATTATGCATCAGAATAGCTATCTTTTTTCGGGTCCTCATTTGCTTGATCATTTTTTTTCTTCTTTCCCTTACCTAAGAAACTCGACGTGAGGTGCTAAAGCAACTAACCCTACAACTCTTCATAAATTTATAATAACTTATGAAAATTTGGTTTTAATT